GTAAATTACGCGTATAAAATGAACATTAGATTCATATTTTTATACCTCATTCTGGATGTGAGTGTGTGAGTAGGAGGCACACTCACTCTCACATACGCACACATTGCAAACGCACATAAGAGCGCATAAATAAAAGCCAGAAACTCCGCACTCACACATCCTTCCCGTGAATGCCAACAACAGAGTCGCAAAAAAGGTTTTCTGCCAAATATCCTGCAGCTATTTCAAACACAAACAGACTCACACTCCCGCAAAGCCACACACACACACACAAACACACACACATACAGCGGAAGATGCCTATGTAGGTGTGTACTTATTTCCATTACAAATGAGCTTATTATGCGCTCAAGTCACAAAGTCATTGCGACTTAAAAGGATTTGCATGTGATTAGCAGTACGAAATGTAAACAAAAGTCGAGTGCCAAAAGACAAAAACAACATGTGGAAATGTTTGTGTGAATTTAAAGAGATTGGTTGATACTCTTTATGAAATCTTTTAAAAAACATAAATTAGGAACAATGATAAAAATCAGTAAAATGAAAGATGGCACATCAACAATGTTTTTTATAATTTTTTGTCTGGTATAATAACACGTGGGAGTATTCAAAGGAATGCGGCAAACCATTATCAAGTTCTGTTATTTTGCGTTTTCAAATTTGGTATGATGTTTTCTGTATTTGGTTTCGTTAAACTTGGGGAGTTCCATCCAATGGTATTCCCCCAAAATGTAGGGTATATAAGGAGCAAGACCAAGACGATTTGTAAGCACTTGGCAAGTACATGTTACACGTGTGTCTGCGATGAAACATTCGAGTATGTGGGATATTTGGAAAATTGCCGGAAGCAGAAAAGCGCGCCGCATAAAAACAATGAACACATCGTAATCATAATTTTTGTGGCCTAATTTCAGGGGCCAGTAAGTTAGGGCCAAAATATGGTGGGTGTCGCATAGCTAATTTGGTTAGCTCTTTATTTTTCGATGCCTTAAATGACCAGCAGAGGGAGTTCTGGCCTCTCGATAGAAGTCTATCCAATTCAATGACAGCGAAGGGAAAAAGTAGAATATTGTGAGCCAGGAACACGGTCTTTGCGCTTCGATTACCTTGCATAATGGGCGACGTCTTTCACTTTTGCATAAGCGCCGAGAATTTGCACAAAAGACGTTGGCAAATAGAAAAGCACTTATTCGCCTTTCCAGCTGGAAAGGTTTTAGCTGCCAAGGCTGTGTAATTGAAGCCGACTTGAAAGTGTTGCTAAAGCTTAGCGACGAAAGTGGAGAAAAGTGGAGAGGCACCCTGGCCTGACAGACTAAAAATATCGATTATCCGGCAAGAGGAAAGGCTTCGGCTGAATAAAATATGCACTGCTTTTTCGGCCACCTTTCGTCCATGTTTTCAATCACATTTTAAGTTAGTCCTCCTGCAGCACAGAAACGTTGGTATTATCTAAATATTATATACCCTCCCATCTAGTGTGTTTGCCGCCCGAATTATAATGACGTCAAATGGAAGAAGCAATGACTTGCACTCGTGTCCAACCGAGGAGGAAAAGCTGGCAAGTCAGGAGTGAAAGACCAGGGAAATTATGCCAGACGGAGCATGAATGGCCCGATAGAACGACTCGAGTTCGGGCTGAGCCCATTGAAATGGAACTTGGCACAAAAGACCAGACTCGACTCGACTCGACGCGACTCGAAGTTTAGCTAAAAGCCAGATAAATAAATAAACACACCAATATATATATTCTTTATATAGAAAAAAGAGATTTGGGGAAATTGTTGTGCTTTTGAATAAATAAATCGCAGTGCAAATAAAGGTGAATACCGAACAGAGAGCAGACAACAATGAGCCATGATGCCGCCCAAGTACGCATAAGTGGGCTGCCCCTCCAGGATTCCACTTCAAATCCGCTCCCGAGCACTTGGCCAAGTTTAAGTTGCACACACTCACACTCACACACACACACACACATAGACAGACGACAGTTGTTTGCTTTAAAACTGGCTAAAAATGTGGGGCAACCAGTTAGCTGGGAACTGAAGCTGATCCTGAAGCTGGAACCGGATTCGTGGCCCCCAGCTCGTCAGCCAAATTAAGGATGTACAGCACGTGTGCTTAGCCCGCTGGCTATTAAGCGACACTCCGGAACGGGGCAGAAAAGGGGGAGTAAACTGTGCATAAAACTCAATCAAGGCGAGACAACAACCAGCACACATCAATGGCCTTTACATACTTGTCTGACTTGCACTAGCAAAAAAATTACAATTTTTTATCTCCGAAATTAAGTTCAAAGGAATATGGATGAGGAATTAAATGAGATATCTTTTACCCAATAGCTCATATTGAGTTATAGGTTTTTTTGCAAACAACTTAAAAAAAATGGTAGTCTGAAATTGTTTTCCATTTCATTCCTCATTTCAACTGAAACATTTATAAACATTATTACATTTTAATGGGATACATTTAATCAAAATCTTAACAGTAATAAAATATATTTCATTACATGAAAACGACAATGAGCTTATAATTATTATATTATTATAATCTATTAAAATTCATTTTTTTAAATTTTATTTTAACTTGAAAAATGGGATTTATTTGGTGACTTTCAAGATTATAAGTTTGATTTTTCCGGAGTGTTCCTGCCATTCTCCCTGCAGGCATGTCAGGCTCTAATGCAAACTCTGACACGCTCCCGGGCCCCCAGCTGCACACGGTGGCTCCTTGGTCCTGGAGTGGGAACCAACGGGCATGACAATGGCACAAACCAGAATCCAATGTTTTGGCAACAAGGCACCAGGAAAAGGGCAGGCAAATGTCGCCCCAACTCCCACATATTTTTGGCCTTTTGCTGCTCGGGGCCTTTGTGAGGCACCCGGAGAAAGTCAAATAACTTAGGCAAATGTGGAAAGGCTAAAAGAGTTTTGTCTCAGCTCCGCTGTCAGGATGTCGCCCCCGGGCAGGTGATTCCCCAGTCTTAGTGAAGCTTGAACCTGCCACGCGGAGATCTGCGAATCTGGGACTTGTACTATGGATGTTTTTTTTTCTTTAGTTTCAATAGATAAATTAGTTTTGAAATTGTTGTATTAGCACTAGAAAATGTTTCAAATAATGCGGTATGAGATTCGTTTTTCGTCACTCCCTAATGCACTTTTATATTCTCTCCTTATTTGCTTACCAAATGTCTTTATTATTTATAGAAAGTATGAAGGTAGGTTAGGGATAAGTTATTTGTTTTAAAAATAATTAAAACGCATGTATATGGAAAAACATGTAAAACAATTTTCTGCAATGTATACTGCAACCATGGCCTTGAAATTCCTGTGGAATGGTTTTTCCTTTTTCTCGACAACCCAGTTCATCGAAGGACAAGGGAAGTTCCGAATGTCCGAGAGCAGGAAGGTGGGACATGCGCAACCTCTTTTGTTGACTGAAATGGAGAATCCTTTGTTCACATTCTGAGCACTTTTTAATTAGTTTTTTAAGCATGCAGTATCAGGTGCCCTTCAAATTGAGCAGAAGGATTTACCAATAAATTCCGTAACACAGCATCACTCACATTAGAACGCCAGCATTAAATTAAATTAAAGTTCGAGGGACGTTTTTCTTCTCTGCTTCAGCAACTGCTGTTTAGGCAAAAAAATCAACAATTGTAAATCATTTCAACAAATGCCGGCCACGTGATTTCCGGCGGCACGTGCTTCACCTTCGCGATGCCTCCTCCTTCTTCTTCTTGTTCTTCTTCCGGTTCCGCCAACAGCTGCCGAAGCAGAAATTATTGGCAAAGCGTTTAAGCGCAATAAATATGTTTGATTGCTGGCAAGTTGCCCAAAAGATACATATCTCCAGATAAATATATACGTGGCGCTGAGCGGGAATCACTGGGTCTGAGCTTCCTGCGATCCTGTTCCTCCCACACAATCAGCTCCGAGCTCAGCGCAAATTTGTAATTCATTTAAACGCGCAACTAAATCGCTTCAAGCTGTTTGCTCTGCACTTTTTAATAGTCGCGGATTGTGCTCTTGTACTCTCCATGCACTGTTAAAAAATCAGTGTGTTTGGGGAAGGTATATATTCACGTGAAATAGAAACAATTTTTTTAGACATTTTAATATTAAAATATATGTACGCACTAACATATTTTGTAGTAACACATTTCCTTTATTATTAAAATAAATGCTGTCACAGTTTGATATTAATTCATGAAAACTCAAAATATTTTTTTTTGTTTAAAATACATAAGTAAACCAACACCTATTCTAATTTTTAGCTTTTTTTAACTACAGAAACATGGAACTTAGTTTCTGTTGAAATTTATATCTACATATTTATATTTTGAATAGACTATTTAATTATTTAATTTATTAGCTAAGAGGGAAAATAACGATAAAATAAAACTAGTTTTGAATGTAAAGTGAAGACTATTTTTTGCAGTACATATCCCGGAAGCCCCACAGACTCCGTCTGTGCTGAATTAACCGGCCAACGAAATGGGCCACGAGCATTGCTCGACTAAATCAAACGAAAGCGCAGCTAAAACGCTTTTGTGCACAATTCGATTATTTACGTTTATTCTTTTTAAATGATATTTCCCGTCTGGCCAACGGGTCCGTTCCGCTGGCACAAGGAGCAAGAAACCAATTATTTGCGGACGGAGCGGAGTTTTGCCAGCCGGAGGGCAAGCAATTTGTAAGGAAATGAAGCGTGAGCAAGGGGAACCGGAAAATGTGCTGCAGTTGAAAGGCGAAAGGGTAAACAAAAGATCAAATTAATAGCCGCACAGCATCGATATCGATGCGATAAGGTGGGGGTATGGGTATGGGTATGGCCAATACAAATACAAATACAAATACAGCTGGGATCAAAGGAAGGGGCGGGGGAAAAGGTTTAAGGTGCAAGCCATGTTGCAACATCTTGCAGTGGTAAAACATTTGAACAGTTGACAATTGGAGTTGGTAGAAGTCTTCTGGGGAGTATAAAAAAGCGTTGATGTCACCTCAAAAGCATCACAACCACTTCCGGCCTTCCACAAGCAACAGTTCGATCCGAGTCCAATTATGACAACCAAGTTCACCCTGATCTTTGCCCTGGCGGCATTGTGCTGCCTGGTGATCTCCACCGATGCGGCAAACTCGCGCAGCCGAGTCCTCAGCTCCCGCCGAGGATCCGAGTTGGTTGAGAAGAACGGCGAGGAATCCGAGGTGGCCGCCAAGCAGGAGGAGACGGATCTCGCCGAGGAGAACGCCGCCGGTAAACAAGAGGTGGAGGGCCGCGCCGAGGAGACCGACACTGCCAACAGCAACCAGGAGGGCAATGAGACCGCCACCAACGACAAGGACACCATTGTGAAGACCAACAAGGACGATGCCCGTGCCCGCCGCATCATTCGTGCCGGTCGCCGTGGTGGACGCCGCCGTGGTCGCCGTTCTGGACGTCGTGGTGGTCGCCGTGGTCGTCGTGGTGGACGCCGAGGTGGACGCAGGCGTCGCGGTGGACGTCGTGGTCGTCGTGGTGCTCGTCGCCGCACATCTGTCAAGAGGCGTTCCGGCAAGGGCAAGGCCTAAGAACTGACATGAACTACCCACAATCCCAACACTGCCTGATCTTCCGATTCGATAACCATTAATAAATAAAACCCTTTACAAAAACAAATACTTTCCATTTGGCTTTTTATTTATTTATTTATATACATATTTAAATTTAACAAACTAAAAGGGGGAAAAAATATTTAAATGCTCATACTTCACCAATTCAAATATCTACCTAACACAGCAACAAAAATGTAGTAACAAAAATTTGTTTGGAAATGTTACCAATTATGTAAAAAAATTATAAATTAACATGGTTACTAACAAACAAATTTAAAAAAAATCAAAACATAAAAATGTATTTATCTGCTTGCATCATTCTTCGTGTAATTTATGAAGACTAACTTTAAGCAAGCAAGTTTATAACATAAAGACTTACAAACTAATGTTTAAGTTATTCAACACACTCTCTCAGCTCGATAACATAAAGACAGTAATTTTGTTCGAAAATCATTCCCTTCTTTTTTTTATATTTTATCAAGAATGAGCTTTGGAAAAAAAGGAGCATTTTATAAAGCAATTAAAGCTCGACAATGTGGCTTAAACTCCATTTAACCAAAAAGTAGCTTAAAGACCATTAAAGTCCATTACTGCCGGAAAACTTTCAACAGCCCCTGGAAAATTCGCAGCGAGGAGAGCAGTTTTGGGCCTGTTTCGCATTCTTTGCACCGTCCCGTAGTGCCATAGTCCTGTCGTCCTTTTCGTATTATTGTCCCTTCCTCCCGTCAGCCCGTTGTGCTTTTGTCCTGGTGTCCTTTAGTCCTGCGCCTCCCCTGCAGCGACGTGACATGTGACAAGAAGTTGCCGCGGCGTTGCTGCAACAGCTGCTGTCGCCTGCCGGCCGGGATCCTTGGTCCTGGTGGCCGTTCACAGTGCCCGAAAAATGATGAATGTGCCAATGTTGCTGGGCTGTTGCCACATCCTCGGGCTACACTCTGCCAAACTTCCTTGGCTTTGTTCGACTGCAGCCGGGGCGAAAGTTTTGCGGCCGCCGCCAAGTTTGAGTCCATTTCTGGGATTATTAGACAACATTTGGTGCAACATGAGCGGCATTCGCGACTGCATTTGATGCTGCCGGCTCCAGCTGGAACTCCGCCAGTTCATTGGGACCGGAGTTGGTGTTGGAGTGTAGGGCTGCATAAATGGCAACACAAGCTCGTCAGCCGGGTCACATTAATGCCGCAAAATAGTTTGTGGCCTGCGGGAAATTAAACTCATGTGAATGGAGACATCGGCCGTTGTTATGCAGCACATTTTGATGAGACTTCTCTTCATTGTCGTCATCCAGCCATCCAGAAATCGAGGAACCACAGATAATGAGACGTAGATGATTCGGCATTGGGTTTCGTTTAGCGTTTAATTAAGCCACCGCCATGCGAAATGTGCAGTGGGAAGTTTGTAATTTCCTCTGCATCTGCAACATGTGTCCATATTCATTGGAATTCACTAAGCGACACCGAGATGCAGACAAAAAGTTTGGCCTTTGTCTGAGTCTGTTCAGCCAACAATGGGCGGCCATTGTTTGGCTTTTAGCAGCAACAAAAGCCAAAAGAGCCAAACAATTTAGATAGGACAATAAGCCAACGGGAAATTAAATTGGCTGCTCTAGTTTACATAGCTGTTCCGCCCTCCACTTTTGGGCAAAGAAAGCTGTTTCAAACGAAATTAAATTAAACTTTTAGCCAAATACACACACCGACTGATAAAAGTTCGAGTGGAGAAATAATTATCATTATTTATCTACGTGGTGGATGTTTTTCACAAAGAAAACTTAAAGGAAGTTGAAAGTTACAACTATTTTATTGTTTTCTAAATTTGGTTTTCACTACTTCTCTTCCAGGAATTAATATACAATTTAAAGCACTGTAATAAATGACAGAAAACAAATATCAGTTGAATTCTTTTCGACCAATATTCTCAGATATTACCAAAACCAACAACTTGAAACTTGTGCTCAAATCAAATTCCCATTCAATAACAACCAAAAAGAAACTGAGAATATTATTCAATAAATTTAGTATTCCACAATGGTACCCAGCTCGATTGCCTTCCTTGAATGGGGCTTAATACAAGTCCGCTGAACAAGATGAAAACAAAAATCTGTTATTCAGATTGACTTGCCACAAAGGCCAACCTCGAGGCCTACGAAAACGCATATTTGCAGTTTTATTTCGTCCTTTTTGTTTAATACTTTTTTAAGCCCACTGTTACAAGCAACAGCAACAAGAAGGAAATGTTCGCAGGAGGGGCAGAAAAATGGAAAATCACTTGCCGATTTTCAATTGAGCGGCGGAAATGTAACGGAAATAAATTTACATAAATACAATATGGTGCGTGCTTGTTGGCGCCATTTTATTTGCACAACACACACATACGCACATACACACGGACATTGGAATGTGTGAATGGAAGCGCACACATACACAGCCAGAAGAGGCAACATATTTGCACCGAAGTGCGTATTGATTTGCGGCATATGCATGTGAAATGTTTTCCTCGTTCCGATACAAAATAAAAAAAAAAAAGAGAAAAAAAAAAAGAAAATTGAGAAAAATGGAAATTTAAAATGGGCCCTGCCTTTTGGCCTATATGGCGGCACCTTCGTGCCCACTTTGTTTAATGCCGGCAAATATTTTCAGCACTTCGTGACCAAATTTCGGGGCGCACTATCTCGAGTGTAAATAGTGCACACACCTGCCTCAAGTGCCATTCGAATGGCGAATGGCGAATGGCGTCAGGTACATTTTGCATGCACCTAGCATTATTTGCATAAGATAAAAGATGAAAAACAGACCTGAGTTAAGGCGCTAGCTCGTCCGCCTCCAAGTGCTTACCACCAGCCAAAAGCGTCCTAAATGTGTTTTCCATAAAAGCCAAGCAAATCCCAGAGTCCCCTCCCAAAGAAATGGCAGCGCTGGCAATGGCGATGGCAAACCTGATAAAGACAACACATATTGAAGGGGTCCCCGTTCGGTGGAACTTGGGGAATGGGACCGTCGTCGCCATTTTGTAGCATTTGCAACTTATATGCATATGTGGTCGAGGAGCCAGTGTGGAGGACAAGAAAACGAGCAAAACTTAAGACCGCCAACGTGCTCTGAAATTACATTTTCCCAGCACGAATATTTCCCACGACCAACTGCACGAAAATGCGCCAGGATTTTTTCGTTGTTCCCACATTCCGTATTTACCCTCTTCCTTCACAATCGACGTGGCTGCACAGTGAGACATAATAGTTAATTTGAATTGGTTTAATTCTTAGTTTATCGGAAGTCCTCAGAAGATGCCCCTAATATTTATAATTTCTCTGCATATACAATCGGAGAAAAAGTATTGTAAATACAAAGAAATTTTAGTAAATAAATTTATAAATTACTAAAACAAAAATTATCAATATAAAATTGTTTTTTCTTTAAAAAAAACTTAGTCTTTGAAACGGAATACCCATTTTGCTAAACAGTTTAAATATTTTACAATACCTAAAACTCAGGTTTAATGAGGTTTTAATACACAAATCAGCCTGAAGTTAATTAAAAGAACGCAAATAGTATTTTCTTCAAAATCACTGTGCAGCCTTAGTTTAAATGGCAAAGAAATCGGTATTACCACTTGTAAGTTTGCCATATTTTACAAATGCATTTGACATAAATTTTAAACGGCTTAGGTGCCGAAGTGGCTGCCTTTGGCGGGCCTTCGTATCCTCTGCATCCTGATAAGGAGACGACGAGTGGGGGAGCTGTGGCTTTAAATCCTAGCCGGGTGAAGACATAAAATAGAGCAATTACGGCAAAGATCATAAATTATGCAAAGCCAGGCAACAAGTGTGCGATAAGCGCAGAAGCCCAGAAAGCGGGCCTGCGGAAGGAAAATACGAATGGGAGTTTGTCTGACAATCATCACTCACTCGCAGCACTCACCACTCATCGCGAATTGAAATCATACAGAGAGTGTCTTTCACCAGCTTTCCTTTTTTCCACATACCGTATGTATGTGTATATACGAGTATATCCGGAAAAAATAGGGAAAAGCGAGCGCGAGACACTCTAAGAACTGAGTGCACATCGTTTATCAACTGGCAGTGCAAAATGCATTCCATTTCAGCCACCTCCGCCAGTTGACAGTGGCAGTGACATGCAAATCGGGTTTATCCCTTTGCCCGGACATTAAGTGTGTGCGATTTTCTTTCAACAGGACAATTTAACAGAAAAATTCATGCTCAACAGCTTGCCAATGCGTTAAGGGCAGGAAGGGCATTCGCAAATGCAGTTATGAATAAATACAGAGGGGAACTTAAGGCATTCACCTCCCGCTTAAGTGCCAACTCCTCCCACTCTACCGTTTTTTTAACCCTTTCTAGGCCTTTCCCCCACCATTTTGCCCACACATTGGCGTGTGGTGGGGCGTGTTATCGTCGGATTTGCATGCTTGCACAAGCCATAAATGTCAATTGGCATGGCAGGCGGGATTTCGAGGAGCCATCGAGGAGCAAGTGGCTTCGAAAGCACATAAGTGCCGAGGAAATAAAAGGCGCCCCAGCTGGTGTCATAATTATAGATGGCTATCACTTTATTAGAACGATAAGAAAATCCACTAAAGTGGGTAAATAAAAACAACACTCAAACTATGACTTTATTCTGCAGTTAAAGAGGAATCGAAGGAAACAGATGACTTTGTAAACTTATACTCAGAAAAAACTTAAAACTTTCTCATAAAAAGAAGATGTACACACATTTAACATCTTGGCATGAAACTGTTTAATTTCAGTTGCAAGCAAGTTTCTTAATTTATTTAAAGTGAGCTTAAATCTCCAGCCGTTCTTACGTATCAACTTGTCAGTTCAAAGTTATCTAGTTATTAAAACAGATTTAAACTTTAAGTAAGATTGTTTAGTAAAGCTGAAGGATCACATGAAACAAAAGCATTCTTGACAACTCAAACTCCAAATTAACCCCAGAAATGCGTTTACCAACCCATCAGATGTAAATTTGTTTTTATCACCCAAACTCAGGGGATCTTGAAACCAGAAAAGATGGCGAACTAGACTTGCCTGCGACCGCAAAAGCC